GAAACATAGAACAGAATACAGATAATTAAAATAAGCAAGAATCATGCAACCACACAGGTCGAGAGGGGAGGGGAACTCATCAACCCCAGGCCTGCCGGCAAAGCCAGGTTTTGATGGCTTTTCGGAAGGCCTGGAGAGAGGTGAGGGTCCGGATCTCTGCGGGGAGTTCGTTCCAGAGGGCTGGAGCTGCCACAGAGAAGGCCCTCCCCCGGGTAATAGCCAGATGGCATTGGCTGGTAGATGGCACCCGGAGGAGGCCTAATCTGTGTGATCTAATGGGTCTTTGGGAGGTAATTGGCAGCAGGCGGTCTCTCAAGTATGTAGAAATAAGCTTGGCATTTGAAAGAAACACTAGGCAGAGGAGCATCATTGTCAATTATTTTCCTAAACTGGCAATACTATATGTATATTAAATCAGTATCATCTACTTTTATGGAAGTTACATCATAATGCTTTACAATTATACTTAATTAGTTTATGCACAGCAGTTTCTCAATTACATTGTACACAATCAACACATTTATCTTCTACTTTTGGGATTGTTTTCTGATAATTGTAGATCCACGCTTAAAACACCAACAGAATATAAACATATACACATGACTAAAATAAATATACTTGCCTACTCTTTCACTTTGTAAAGCAGCGGCTTGGTTCATATAAAATACTCCAATTTCATTTTGAATATTGCCCATTCTCTTCACCACTTGGGCATACTGCTCTGAATTCTGCTCTTTTAAATGACTGAAAAGCAAAATTTCATGGGCTGCCTCATAACATTTGCAGCTGACTGAAAGTTGGCATTCCAAATCTGTAGACAGGTCAGTAGCCCAAGAAAACACTGCAAGAAAAAAATAGCATAATAAATGGACAAATATATAGATATTTCTATATTAAATCCATTGCACATGGAAGTACATGAAAAGCTATTGAAAAACAATTTAGGGAAGATTCTGGAATCAGCTGTCAGTTATACATTCAGTATTATTTTGTACATGCAAAAGTTTATTATGTGTTTGTAAGAGCTATTACCATATTTTTGGAGTATAAGATGCACCTTTTTCCCTCAAAAAAGAGGCTGAAAATCTGGCTGCATCTTATACACTGAATATAGCATTTTTTGCCTCCTGAAACCCCGCCCCCTTCACCAAAATGGCCACGCATAGCTTGTAGGAGGCTTTCAGAGAGCTCCTGGGGGCTGGGGAGGGCAGAAATGAGCCAAAAACGGGCCATTTTTGCTCAATTTGCCCCCCCAGCCCGCAGGAGCACTCTATAAGCTTCCTAAAGGCTATCCATGCCCTTTTTGGGGCAAAAAAGGGCCCGTTTTTGCAAAAAAATGGGCAGTTTTTTGCTCATTTCCCTCCTATCCCCCCCCCAAGGAGCACTCTACAAGACTCTTATGGGTTATTCATGCCCTTTGTTGAAAAAAAAACAGGCCCGTTTTCGTGAAAAATGGGCCATTTTTGGGAGGTTTGCAGAGTGCAAAAACTTTTTTTAAAAAAATGCCTCTTCAAAACCTTGGTGCGTCTTATACTCCAGTGCGTCTTATACTCCGAAAAATACGGTATGTATAAACTGAGCCAATGATCCATTGTTGACCACGAAGACAAAAACATCCTATTGCATTTCCGTCCTAGATACTTCTAGCTAAAGCTATGTTCAGATCCATTCCAATTTGATATGCAATGGAATCTTTGGCCATTGTAGCCAAATTCAATGGCCATAGTACACCATAAACTAATTCAGGGAGTATGCCCCTCTAGGTTTTGCTGTACCTCTTAATACTTTTCAATACTGTCAGCAGAATCCTTCTGACCCACATTACCACCATCTTTTAAGATGGCTTCAGTTCTTTAAAGTTGTCTACTGCTGTATCCAACTGCTTCTATTTTTTTGTTTTTAGACCAGGGTTAGTCAACGTTTTAATACCTATCGCCCACTTTTGTATCTCTGCTAGTAGTAAAATTTTCTAACCGCCCACTGGTTCCACAGTAATGGTGATTTATAAAGTAGGAAAGTCAATATGAAAGTCAGTATGAGCCAAGGTGGCGCAGTGGTTAAATGCAGCACTGCAGGCTACTGCTAGATCAGCAGGTCAGCGGTTCAAATCTC